TCTGCTTCTCAGAGCACCTGACGGTAAAGAGGTCTGGGGAGAATGGGAGTGACAAGCTGGAGTGACAAGCCAGCTAGCAGTGACCTGCCTGAAGAAGGAACCTCAGCCCCACAGCCATGACACCTCTCTTTTTCCACAGAAGTGTGTCCAGAAAGGTCCCAAGATGTTACACTGGCTGCCCGCACTGTCTGTCCTGGTGGCCACACGACCAGGATTGCGAGTAGCTCTGGGCATGGCCACTATCCTCCTGGTGTTCACCATGGCCATTGCCAGCCTGGTGAGAACAAAGGGGGTTCTATCTACCACCATCAGGGCATACTGGGCCTGTGAGGGGTTGAAAGGGAACCCCTGGATCCAGAATAATGACTGAGCTGCGAGGAATGTGTGTGTGTGTGTGTGTGTGTGTGTGTGTGTGTGTGTGTGTGTGTGTCTGATTGTCTGTCTGTCTGTCTGTCCTACCTTCCAGGCATAATCATTGTTAACACTTTTTAGTGTCCTTTCTATCTTTTCTACCTATGTAAGCATACATACATCATTCTGAGTTTACTTGGCTAAGTTTACAGAATTTATAATTGTTCTTAGAATTTAATAAGAATCATCCCCCAGCCAAATTACAAAATAAAAAATAAAATAAAAGGAAGGAAGGTGGCCCAGAGTGGAGTGGTTAAGTAGCTGGCAAGAGCTGACAGTGGTTTGATGACAATACTAGTATTTGTGACACTTTTCACTGTCCCTCCTGCCAGTAAGGACCCATCTGGAGCTCTTTTACTAATCAGAAGCAGCAGAAGCCGCCCCTTTATAGGAGGCAGGCTTTAACCCATCCCCAGCTCAGGGGCAACCCAGCTGAAGCCTCCTGTGCCCGAGGAGTTTACTGCCTTTCAGCTCATCTTCTTCCGCAGCTCTTCTTACCGGTGTCATCAGACTGCCCCTTCCTAGCTCCCAATGTATCTTCCGTGGCTTTCAATGCCTCCTCAGAACTGCCAGGACCCCTGCCTCTTATCAGCATCCCAGTGAGTGTTTCTGTACAGCCCTGGGTCTCCTTCCCCCAACCCATAAGAGATTCTCGTCATATCTAGTGTCTGTTCCCATGACATCCCTGCTTGCCCAATGAGCCCTGGGCCCTGGGAAAACAGGGACCCTGGATAGTCTCCCGGTGGTATCTAGGGGACTACTGACTTCTGACCACCTTGCCCGGCCCCACAGTACTCCATGCACTGCTGCGTGTTGGGTTCCCTCTCCTGCTCCCTCTTTCTGCACATGAGCTTCGAACTGAAGCTGCTTCTGCTTCTGCTGTGGCTGGTGGCGTCCTGCTCCTTGTTTCTGCACTCCCACGCCTGGCTGTCCGACTGCCTCATTGCCCACCTTTATCAAAGCCCCTTGGGCTCCAGGTACGTATATTCACGGGACACTAATGCTCAAGCCCCCGGGAGGGCAGCTAAGACAGGACACAGCAGAGCTGCCCTGTCTCACAGACCAGAACCGCTCCAAGGCAAAGGGGAGGTGGTGGTGCTGAGGGCTCTTTGGGCACTGGGGGCAGGGAGGAGGCCAACAGGAAGGAGCAGGGCACAGAGCGATCCTGATTCTGATCTCTCAGGCCCGGGGTGCTGAAGGAACCCAAACTGATGGGAGCCACCTACTTCTTCATCTTCTTCTTCACGCTCCTTGTCCTGGCTCGGCAGGTACATCTTTCATCCCAGTCCTCCAGGGCCTCCCTATGAATGGCTGAGGCTAGGGCCCCCATATTGTTAACTTGTCTGTCTCGTCCCCAGGGCTGAACCCAAGTAATATGTGCACTGAAAACTTCAGAGAGAGATAGAGATAGATAGATAGAGAGAGAGAGAGAGAGTTCCAAATCCTTTTCTTACTCTTCACTCTCTAAACCTCCCCTCCCTCATCACTCCCTACTTCTACCTCCAAATCTAAGAAAAACCATGGTTACCAAAAAACAAAACAAAACAAAGTCTGCTGGTGGTTCTGTAGATCCTAATTTGAATATATCCTAAAGGCCATCCCTCTTCAGGACAGCTGTACCTTAAACCTAATCTCTAAGCTGGGTGTGGGGCATTGGGGGTGCTGCTCTACCACCCTAGAATGAGTATTACTGCCGCCTGGACTTCCTGTGGAAGAAGAAGCTGAGGCAGGAGAGGGAGGAGACTGAGACGATGGAGAACCTGACCCGGCTCCTCCTGGAGAACGTACTCCCTGCACACGTGGCCCCCCAGTTCATCGGCCAGAACCGGCGCAATGAGGTGACTCCCAACCCCACCCTCCAGAGCCCTGGATGCCGCTGGGACTGAGCTTGGATGAAACTCTTGGATCTTAGCCAAGATCCCCGGAGGTCCCCGGAGAGTGGGTCAGGTAGTCTCCTCAGCCCCTGCCTTGTGAGAGCATAAATCTTGCACTTTGTCCTTGGTGGCCACAAAAATCTGTGCTTCAGGCTTTTGTTTAGAAGAAATGTTTTTTGAACTCATACCTCAGTGATAGATCTTACCTACCATGCAGGAGACCCCTGGCAGGAAAGAGAGAGAGAGAGAGAGAGAGAGAGAGAGAGAGAGAAAGCAAGTATCTTTCTGAGCCATGACCATGCCATCCTTTTCAGAAGCCTAGACAAATGGTGATGGAGAATTGAAGAAGAGTTCACCCATCCCTCTAGCTCTACACTATTCAACATGGTAACTGTTAGCCATATGTGGCCATTCAGGCTTACATTTTACTTAATTAAAATAAAAATTCAGTTTTCTGGGACTCAGTGGGTACAGCCTTACAACCTGGAACATACAGGAAGGTGGAAGGAGAAAAAGAACTCCTGAAAGGCATCCTCTGAGCTCTACATATATGCCGTGCCATGCACATTTAACATGCACAGTTAACTTACTTAATTAAAAAAATTCATTCCAAAACAAGGAAATGGGGCCATTTTGCTACCTCCTCTTCACACCCCAAGCCCTGCAGAAGCTGCTCTCCATCCGGCTTAGCCCTCTTCAAACTTAGCCCTTTGGCTGGGGCCTGAGGGTGCTGCCCCAGGAGCTGCATGCCTCACCCCTGCTCCTCTTCGTAGGACCTCTATCACCAGTCGTACGAATGTGTCTGTGTCCTCTTCGCATCGGTCCCGGACTTTAAGGAATTCTACTCTGAGTCCAACATCAACCACGAGGGGCTGGAGTGTCTGAGGCTGCTCAATGAGATAATCGCTGATTTTGATGAGGTACAACTCCAATACCCTTGAGTTCTTGGTTGTGGTTTCGGCCATCGGTCCTTCCTTTCACTTTGCCCTCCTGACCATCAGGCCAACCCCACTCCCCAATCCCTCTGATCCTTTTCCCTCCATTGCTCATTGCCAACCACCTCCTTCCCACCATCATCTCCAGCCCTACAGCCTGGTCCTTTAGCCTCCAAAAGCCTGGGGCAGGCTTTTTGAGAAGCGATGGTGACAGCTTCTTCTCCCTACAGCTGCTCTCCAAGCCAAAGTTCAGTGGCGTAGAAAAGATCAAAACTATTGGCAGCACCTACATGGCAGCCACAGGCTTAAATGCCACCTCTGGACAGGAGACACAACAGGTACAGCAGTTCCTGTCACCTTCCCCAAGGGCTGCCATGGGTGGGCTTGTTCATAAGCTGGACTTGTTTCTGTGCCCCTGTTGGGCCATCATGGCGGGTGGACCCACTTACCAGGATGCTGAGCGAAGCTGCAGCCATCTGGGCACCATGGTGGAATTCGCAGTGGCCCTGGGGTCTAAGCTGGACGTCATCAACAAGCACTCATTTAACAACTTCCGCCTGCGTGTGGGTGAGGGCCTCCTTTGCTGGGGCAATGTGGTAACTCCTCTCTCCAAGTCCTCCAGCTCGTTTGTGGACCCCTCCCCCTTCAGACTTCCTCCCTTGGCCGAAGCTTAAAGCTGCTAGTCTGAGAGCTAAGCGGTTCACCCCTCCCTTCCTTAATCCACTCTCCTCCAATCCCAAAGACTCTCTCTGGTAAACCCACCTGAGCTTTCCATCTCCCTTAATCTTGTTTTCAAAGCCTCTCCCTCCCAACCCCCACCAAGGCCTCTCATTATCACATTTCTTGTCAGGCTTGAACCATGGACCAGTAGTAGCAGGGGTGATTGGGGCTCAGAAGCCGCAATATGACATCTGGGGGAACACCGTGAATGTGGCCAGCCGCATGGAGAGCACGGGAGTCCTCGGCAAGATCCAAGTAAGAAAAGAGCCATGTTGGAGACTCGGGGAAGGGAACAAGGATAAGGCCGCCCTACATCCCCTTATGTCTCCTCCAATTGCAGGTGACTGAGGAGACAGCCAGGGCCCTGCAGTCCCTGGGTTACACATGCTACAGCCGGGGTGTCATCAAGGTCAAGGGCAAAGGGCAGCTCTGTACCTACTTCCTGAGCACAGACCTGACGCGAACTGGATCTCCCTCAGCATTGTAGGCACCTCAGCACCCCTCCTCTAAGGTCCTCAATAAAATGTCTACCGGGCATCTGAAGCCTGTTTCTGTGGCAATGTTTCTTCCCAAGATGCCTTCCTAGGCCTCTCATTCTGGAGGAATCTTGTTTTACTGGGGGTGGCTTCTGAGAGACGGCAGGTACGGATCCCAAGAAGATGGGATCTGACGACCAGAGTCCCCAGTGAGATTTCTCTGAGAGACGGAGAAGAGGAAAACCATCTCCCAGGACCCTGCTGAGAGGGTGGAGGCCCCTGGCAGGAAGTTAAACACTATCATTCTCACCATGAACCTCAGCAGAGACATTCCTCAAGGACTGGTTCTCTCAGATGCCCTGGAGTGACCTGCACAGGGAATTCTTTTCACAATCCCCTTTAAGCGTCAGGAGTGTGTTCCGCTAAGGGAGATCAGCGGATCACCCATTTCAGAATTAGGAGTGTAGAGCTATACCTTCCCATGTGTCCCTTCTAAAACTCTAAGTGGCTGGGATCTGAGGAACTGTCGAGAGGGCCCGATAAATACCCATTGCCCCCGCGACATACACACCTCACTCACAGGCTTAACCTGATTTCACACTAGTTTTAATCGTAAAGCTGCCTGCAAAAGCCAGGCCAGAGCATGCTGTCTCTCTGCCCTGACTCGCCCCACCTCTCCCTCTTCTTCCGCTTGAGCCCAGTCCGCAACCTGTTCTCCTCCAGGGACAGAAGTGGGTCAGGCCCGAGTTGGGAGTGTCTTCAGCGCAGCCGACTGACTGCAGCTCACTTGGAAGACTCAGGAAGGGTGGAGGCCGTGAGGCTGTCGGTGGGACCCGGCTCGGGACAGGCGGGTGTGGCCTGCGGGGTCTGGACCAGGGTGCCCCCGCGGCGGGTGCTGGACGCCTCGGAGCCAGTGGCCTCCAGCAGCTTGACTACGAAGCCCACCCCCGCCGAGCGCAGCAGGCCGCCGCCCGCGCACGCGTACAGCACCGGGTTCACGCTGCTGCTCAAGAAGGCCAGCGCGATGAGCACGTAGCGGGCCAGCCTCAGACGCTGCCCCGCGGGGCTGTCTTTGTCCCCGCCTGCCAGAGTGCGGCCAGCCTCCACCAGGTTCACCAGATGGTAGGGCAACCAAAAGGCGGCGAAGGCCACGATGATGAGCGCCACCAGGCGGCCGGTGCGGCGACTGCGGCGGAAGCGCCGAGCCTGCAGCCTGCGCCCGATGTCCGAGTAGCTGGCCACCACCGCCAGGAAGGGCAGCAGGAAGCCCGTGAAGGCCTCGAAGAGCAGGTGGAAGGCCTTATGCCCGTCGCTGGGGTACTTCGAGTCGCAGATCAGAGTCCTGTTGCTCCGTTTTACTACTGTACGGTACACAAGGACGGGAGTGGCCAGCAGAAAAGACAGCACCCAGATGCCTGCCAGCACCCATCTCGCGATCGCCTTAGTGCGAACCTTCTGGGACACGAAGGGGCGGGCCACTGCCAGCGAGCGGTCCAGGCTCATGATGGTGATAAGCAGGACGCTGGCGTACATACTCACTCCACAGACATAGTGGCACAGCCGGCAGCCCGTCACTCTGAAACTCCAGGTGCCCCGAGCCAGGAAGTGTAGGAAAAAGGGAGCAGTAAGCAACACGGCCAAGTCGGCCAGGGCCAAGTTCAGCACTAGCAGGGCGGTGACAGAGCGTTTCTGCATCCTTTTCAGGATGCTCCACACCACAAAGCCATTGCCCGGAAGACCCACAGCCAGGGCCACGGACAGCAGAACGATAGGTAACAGAGACAGGGACATGCCACCGGGAGAAGATGCTGCAGGAGATGTAGTGTTTGTAGCCATCAAGAGGACCTGGAGAGTGAGAGCAGACACACCCGTGAGAGAAAGCCAAAGGATTCTTGACACCCCGTCACACCAGCATGAGTACTCCGGACTCCGAAACCAGAAATTTCAGAAGCACCTTCAAAACATACCACCCCATCACTCATTGTCTCAAAGGGACCCGGCTGAATAGAAAAACTTATTTCCTAACCCGGCCGTGGGGCCCCATCTCTGCCACAGACCCAGTTGCAACAGCAGCAGCGGCTTTTCCAAAGCCTTTGACACTCCTTCCCTCAAGAGACCCTGGCACCCTGCACCAGCCTGGCAGTTTCCTCAGCACGGCTGAACCCCTTGGAAGGCCAGCCTTTCTGTCTCTTGAGAGGTCTCTTAGTGCTGTCAGCTCTCCCCAGTCACCTACCCACTGTCTCTAGAGCTGGCCAGGGTGTGCCAGGAAGAACTGGGCCTCAGGGGAGTTAGTGGACAGACCGTGAGAACAGGTCCTTTTACAGTGGGCAGGTTTTCTCTGGGGATTTCTTTCTCACCATCTCTCCAAGCTACCCCTGCCACACACACAAACACACACATAGACACACACATGTACCCTCACACACACAACACACCAACACACTCAGACACACCTGCACACTCACACACACTCACATAGACACAACACGGTGACACATGCACGCCATCCCGTCTCTAGGATACTCACAGGGTTTTCCTGATGCTGGCCAGAAGCCGATAACTGCTACGTTGAGGGTGAGGGGAGAGTCGTTGGACAGACAATTCCTAGTGCTAGGGGTCCTGGTCCCGCTTCTAGGTCTGCCAGCTAAGTCAGCAGAGAGGAAGTACACAGAGCAAAGGAGGGGGAAGCAGCATCTTCCTGAGGCTGAGACTGAAAAACCTCACACCCTCCTGCGCTGTTAGGGAGGGACGATGCTCTCCTTCCAGAACAGCCCAGCGGGAAGGAAGACTTCTTGGGTGGGGCTAAGCAAGAAGTACCCAGGAAAGAGTAGTGAGAGGGGAGAGGGGGTGCCAGGAGTGAGCTGGCTGGGGTGTGGCCTAAATACTGCGGGTCCAGACCTGAAAGGTGAGCAGAGTTCTGGATCATATCGTAGGGGAAGGATGCAGGCTCAGATTGGGACTGCTGCTTTTTAAGAAATGTTATCTTCGTACCTCACGCTGAAAGCACTGCACATGGTGTGCTCTGGGAGTCCCAGGTTGGTGGTCTGTGTTCTGGGTACTGCTGTGGGTTAGGTAATATCGTGCTATAAAAACAGCATGTTGGGGTCAAGGCTACCCCGGGCTACGTAAGATGGAGAGAGACACAGGTGCACACACAGAGAGGAGGAAGAGAAAGAATATCAGTAAGAATGTGGGGGAAAATGAATGAATGAAGGGGGGAGCAACCTCGTCCTGACTTCAGGTCAGACCATGATCTCAGTGTGGTTTCAGGAGACACGCTCCCTCCGCCATCACCCATTGCAGGTCAACCAGCTCTCCGTTCTTTTTGAGAGAAGCCGGAGTCTAAGTGACCTCCTTCGTGACACAAAAATAGCGGTTTCTTCTCCTTCCCCTACCCGATTGACCAAGCCTGTTGGCCTTTCTCATTAGGTGTTAGGCAAGGATTGGCACTGCTTCTTTATCCTTACAGCCTTAGGCTGTCTGCTCTCAACTTTGACGGAGAAGGTGGAGGCTCAGCTAGGCTCTGCTGAGAATGAAGAGAAGTGGTGGCGCAGGGACGGCATCGCCTCACTCCATCCCTACTGCCAGAGCATCTAAGACTTTAGGAAGATAGCCATCTAAGTGTTACCTCTCCACTCTCCCCTCCCCGAAAGAAAGGACGCCAGCTCTCTGAATCGTCCTGAAGCACCGAGAATGCTTTCCTTTGGTCTGCCATGAGCCTTTCTGTTTGCCCTTCTTTCAACCTGTCACTTCTGAGGAAAGACGGTAACGACTGAGGTCCTCACAGGTTCTGGTGCCCTCCCGCCGTACACTGAGAAAAGCCAACTCAGCATTGACCCAGTAACCATCAAGCAGAGGATATGATGAAAAGGAGGCTGAAACCACAGCGAGAACTGAGGGCAGAGTTGAGGAAGAGCCTTCTGACCACATGGGGTGTGTAAGGTGAAGAATATACAACAGGGGAAATTCAGGAAGCTCTGCTCCAGAGCACAGGACAGGAAGAATTCTGTGCTTAGGAATGGAACTTCTGGCTTAGAGGCCCAGGGCCATCCGAGCCCTTTGCACTTTCTCTCAGGCTATCCCACCCCACCTTCCTTGGGGGACAGTCTTTTCTCCTCCTCCAGAGACTAGGCATGCTCAGCACACTTCCTCTCTGGTTCAGAGCTCACTTCAACCCCCGTTTGGGAATTCCCAGCATAACCCTGGAGACTGGATTTCCTTTTTTCTGTTGGCCTCTGCCTGAAGGGAGAGAAAAGCCACTGAAATGGAGCCCAGAGTACCCGCTCGGAAGGCCAGCTGTGTCAGTTTGCTGGGGACTGGTGGATATGGGAACAAGAAGTTTTGAAGGGAAGTAAGAATGTTCCGAGCGAACTAGGTCATGTGTGTGTTCATCATGTTCCCTAAAGAAAAACAAAACAAAACAAACAAACAAAAAAACTTGCATCCTATTATCCCCAAAATCAAACAAAAGGGTCAGTCAGGTTTTAGATCCGATAACAGAGAGATTCCAGAAGGTGGAGGCTAGAAAGAAATGGAAAAGGGTTAGGAACATCTAACAACTTGGAAAGAGGGAAGGCAACACAGAGAAAAGACAGAGAAAGGAGAGGTGCCACCTTCCTGGACGTTTCTTTCTGTTTTCCAGATCCTCCAGCCATTCCCCACACCTCCTCATCACCAACCCTCAGACTTTCTCTTATAAAGCAAGTGCTGGCTCCTGGGCTTCTTCACAGGCGTGGTGGCTTTTAGAGGGCGTGCAGGGATGAGCGGAGGGTCAGAGGAAAGGGTTAAGTCTTGGAGGCCCAGGTCCTCTGCATCCAGTCATGTGCTTCCCTCTCGCTGTGCCAAAGGTCGACACTTTCCCTTTCACACTGCACAGATTTTCTTTCTATGCCCCCCCAACCCCTTGTAGGCCAGTTTCTTCCCCCTAAATGCATGTAAGAATAGATTTTACCCACCCCCCATCCAAACTCCAAAGTGGTTCTCCAGATAGGCCTGGGGAAACAGGTAACCTGGACGGCAGGGCAGGGCAGAAAGCCACTGAAGTTGGGGGCCATGCAGTCCTGACCTGTCTCAGTGGAGAATGAGACAGGAGTGCACTTCATTCAGCCACCGGCTGATGGCTTCCCGGGGTATTTCACAAGAAAAGCTAGTTCCTGGAACCAGGGTGTGCCGCAAGCACAAATTTCGAACACAAGGCACAGTCACCCTCACAGTCCCACGGTCTGGAGGAATCTGGGCCAGATGGAGTAATCCAGGTCCAGCCAAACCCAAACTGCAATCAGAGAAGGGTCTCCCAAGTACTCCAGTGCTCCAGGAACTATGGAAAGTGGTAGGGGAGCCCCGAGGCAGGGTTCGGGATCTCGTCTACCATTCCCGACTGTCTTTCTCCATCCTTCCGACGCCACCTCCAGGGTCTCCATTGCCCCTGCCCTGCCCCACTACTTTCAGCCTAGGAGTAGTTCGGAGCTCCATGGTACCCTCCCTAGAGCGGATGCCCCCTCGGGTCTCCCCAGAGCCCTCAAAGAGCCGTGTAAGGAAGCGGGGCCCCGCCCGGGGCAGCAGATCCCCCGCAGTGAAGAGGTAGAGCACGGGGTTGACGCTGGAACTGAAGAAAGCCAAGGCTGTAGTCCCAGCGCGCGCCGCTTGGCCCGCCCCGCCGAGTCTGGCCAGGGGCCCTTCGGGCGGAGCAAGCGCGGCCACGGCCTGCACGAGATTGACGGCGTGGTAGGGGGCCCAGAGCAAGCCGAAGGCCAGCACGATGGCGCTCACCAGGCGCCCCGCCCGCGTGCCGTGCCGCCCGGAGCCCCAGCGCGCGCCCCGCAAGCGGGCCAGGGTCACGCCGTAGCAGCCGAGCACAGTCCCAAAGGGCAGGACGAAGGCGGTCAGGGTCTCCAGGCCCAGGTGGGCGGCCGCGTGCGCCGCCGACGGGTGGCACAGCTGACATACGCGGTCGCCCCACAGGTGGCGGTAGACGGCCGCCGGGACGGCGAGCACGAGGGCAGCCAGCCAGACGCCCAGCAGCAGGCGGCGCGCCAGGGCCGGGCTGCGCAGCCGGGGGGCCAGGAAGGGCCGGGTGACGGCCAGGCAGCGCTGCAGGCTGAGCAGGCCGGTGAGCAGCACGCTGGCGTACATGCTGAGCGCGCACGCGTAGTACACCGCCTTGCAGCCGGCCTGGCCCAGCGGCCAGGCCTGCCGGCTCAGGAAGGCCACGAAGACCGGCGTGAGCAGCAGCACCGAGCCGTCGGCCAGCGCCAGGTGCAGCACCAGGGTGGCCGCCAGCGGCCGCCCCGACGCGGGCCGCCAGCCCGCCAAGCTCCACACCACAAAGCCGTTGCCCGGCAGTCCCAGCAAGGCTGCCAGCAGCAGAAAGGCGGTGCCGGTGGCCCGCGAGGCCTTCCAGCTCAGCAGCGTCTCGTTCCCGGGCGGACGGTAGCACACAGACATCCTCCTAGAGGCGGGCTGCGAGAATCCACGGGACGGCACGTTCAGGAGTGGGGCAGAGGCCCACGCTACCTCTGCCGCTGTGAGAAGCGACTGTGCGCCACCCCGACTTCTCTGCCCCTCTTCTCTCCTGGAAACCAATTCGAACAGCGCCTTAGAACCTGTGAGCCCCGTTCCCAGTCAGCTATCCTTTCCTGCTCTTGGCGTGCTCCCAGAGGCGCTGGGCCCAAGGCTCTGGTGTTCCCCAGTCCTCACTGAAGTCACTGTCTCCGCCTCTGGCTTTCTGAGTAGCCCCCTCTTTATCCCAACCCCATTCTTTATATCTAGTGCGAAGGTGAATGAGCGGATCTACTTACCCAGCTGGGAGGGAGCAGCATTGGGAGCGTCCGGAGGGGCTTAGGGGGGCTGACAGGTGAAGCTGCTGCCTAACCCTGCCCCAGTGCCTGTCACATTTGTAGAGGATGAGGCAAGAAGGAAGAGAGACAAGCTGGTGCTCATCCTGGACCCTCCTTCAGCCTCCTCCTTCCCATCACTGACAGGCCCAGGCACGAGGAGGCCAGCCTCCGCAGGAAACAGGACAAGGCTGGAGAGGTGCAGAGAAGGCACTGGCCCACGGAGACCGGCAGAAGTACTCTGCTAAAGGCTGGCTAGGTCACGAAGCTGTCCATGCACTTTGTGGAACAGGACGCCGGAAGCTGGGGGGGAGGGGGGGGTCTAGGAGACTCTGAAAGGCTCCCAGGCAGCAAATTGGGGACTCTGCTTATTTAAGAGCTTTGCCAACGGTAAACCTCAGTCTCTGTGCAATTGTCCAGCTAAAATCGGAGATGAAACCTGGGACACTACAACTGAAGTCCCTAGGCTGGGGAGAGGCTCTGTCAGCGAAGTATTTGCCACACAGCATGAGGACCTGGGTTCAGCACCCAGAAACCATGTTAAAGCGGGTGCATGGTTTGTAACCCCAGTGTTGGAAACAGGTATATCTCTAGGGTTCACTGGCCAGCCATCCCAACCAACTTGGTTGGTTATCTCCAGGCCTGTGAGAGACCCTGTCTCAAAAAACAAAACAAAACAACAACAACAAAAAACACCAAACAACAACAAAAACCACACACGTAGGCAGCACCTGAGAAGCAGTACTCGAGGTTGCCCTCCGGCTTTCATGTGCATGCGCTCTCTGGAGATACATTATTAATTAATTAGCAGACCAGAAAAGATGAGAGCCGTGGCAGCTCACGGCCATTTCTGGAGAATAAAGCCGAAAAAAAGAATGTTTTGCTAATTCTTCTCCAACCAAGGAGGAGGTATGCAGAAGGGCCCAGGTCCCAGACGGGCTCCTGATGACGCTGGCGCTGTAAACCACCGTCCAGCCTCTCCTCACGCCATTCCCAGACACACTGCCCGCCTTTCAACTTCTCCAGGTCTCTTCCGATGGCCAGCGTGCAAGCTTCCTCGCTTTTAGCCCAGCCTTTCCCGAAGACTGCGGTTTATAACTTCCCAGCAGGGGGCAGCACAGTTAACCCTAGCTCTGAGACTGTGGGCCAGAAACCGTTCTAGGACCTAGGAGCTGAGAAGCGATCAGTTCAAGGTGGCCAATCTGGACTACAAAGTAAAACTGTATTTGGATAAGGGGAGGGATCAAAATGTCAAATTTCATCCGTAACAACACATCTCTAAAGAGAGACCCAAACAAGCTTCCCTGGCTTTGGCTACTTCCACCAATCTGCATAGGCTCCTCCTTCTTCCCTCCTCTTAGACTTTGGCCCTTTTACTGACCAGGCAAGGGGGCCAGAGTCCAGGCTTGACTCATTTCTCACTTCACCAGGGCTAGGATCTCAGCTTTATACAGAAAACAAGGCTTAGCCTCTGAACAACAGAGAAGCGCTCAGTCCCAAAGCCACAGGAAGGCCTTTTACCTGCTCCAGCCCTCGGCCATGGAGTACCTTTCAGCCTTGAACCCTAATGGCCTGCTGAGGTGATTTCTAACCCTTCTCTCTATACTTCAGTGCTGGGGGTATGGGCAGATACAGCAAAACTCGGCCCCTGAAGACCCACTTTTTTGCCTCTACAGATTTCTCCATCTCTTAGGCTACTGTCTTGTTCTCTCTCTCTCCTTCGACTCTGTAAACCTAGAAGCTCTAGCCATCCCACCTCCATCATTATCACTAAATCTGCCAACCCCTTCCTTAGCCTTTCTGGTCTTTTCTTCCCAAATACCAGATCAGTCTCCGCTATGGGCTCTGAACTTGGCCGTAGGGTATGGAACTCAGCTCCACCACCTCAGCGACCTTTCCGAGTCTGTGATCATAAGCGGACAGTCCGGAAAGGGCTGACGGCTGCCACCCGCCAGGAACTGCTAGATAAGGTAAGTGGACAAGTTCCTGGGTTCCTGGACCAGGGAAGCCAAGGGACTCAAGGACAGTGGGGTGGTGGGGTGGAAAGTACGCAGGTTACAACGTTGCTGCCCACCAGCGGTCTAAGAACTGACCTATGGTTAGCGTGGGTCAATTATTTCTTCCGAGTAGTGGGCTTTTGGGGGGAGTCAGGGAAACAAAAGAGAAGTGTTGGAGAAATGGGTTCAGAAGTCACTATGGCAATTTGTATGTTTCTTGTAGTGCCAAGCATCAAAACTCTAGGCAAGGGCTGTGGCGATTTAAATTTCAAGCCCTTGATTTCTATGAAAAGCTAGTCTCAAATCCTGATTTTGCTACTTCCTAGCTGTCAAACCTTGGAAAGTCATCCAACCTATCAAAATCTGGTTTAGTTTGTTTCTTTTGAAACTGGCTCTCACTCAGGTCAGCTCAGGCTGACCTTCAACTCAGAACACTCCTGCTTCAGCCTCCCAAATACTGAGACTATAGGCACATGCCACAAAAAAACAAAAACCTAAAACTAAAACTTGAAAAATGTTCTCAATGTTGGGCACCAAACCCAGGTCTTAAAGCATACCAGGCAAACAATTCACTTCTAAATCACAGCCCCAGCCTTCAGTTTCTTCACCACACAAGGGAATAATAAATCACTTCAAGTTACTGAAAGATATTTTGACAGCTTCGGGAGGGAGGATGCATTTTGGCTCTTATCTTCTTGAAGTAATGAATTCAGTCAAGAGACAATTTGAGATGTTTATTTAGCAAACTTCCAATCTAGTTAGTAAAGGTAAGCGGCACACTCCAGACTGGAGCGGGCTGCCTCAAGGTGGAGAAGCAGGCTGGGGGTGGTGTTGTACGGAATGTTCTTGAGGTTGGGTGATTTTCTCTCCCAAACCCCAAAGGTGGAGGAGACTTTCCCTGTATCTTCTCCTGTGGTATCCACAGACAGAGGTGTAGGACTGGAGAGATGGCTCAGCAGCTTAGCAAAGGACTGAGGCCAAGTTCCCAGCACCCACCTGTGCTCACAACCATGTAACTCCACTCCAGAGGATCCAATGCCTTCTCCTGGTCTCCACGCACTCACATGCACACACTGTAGACAAACACAATTTAAAATGAAATCTGAAGGTGTGTCAACCCACAAGGGAAGTGCTGGGCCGTCTTTTTAAGATTCAGACCCTTTGTTAGTGTATACATGCTGGTCAAAATCCTGGTACCTTAGTTTCCGTTGCAGGGGGAACAGCATAGGTACAGCTTCAAGGATGTTTTTAACCACAAGTTTTATCAGAAGGAAGGCCTACTAAGATGTAACTGTAGATTTCCTGGTTGCCTCATGTCCAGCTCCTAATGTACAGGATGTTCAAGGGTAATCTGATTCTTGGGTAGGTGGAGGCTTTCTTAGAAGCTATCCTTAGAACTGAGTCTGTTGCAATCAGATGTATTAGAATAAGTCAAAGGGCAACAGCACCTCATGTATATGCCTCAAGAGGGCCTTAGAGGAGCCAGTCAGAGCCCTGTCCTTCCTGCTCACCTTGACTATCTTATGCCCAGCTGAAGCCCTTTAATTTCTCATCTCCATTGTCCTAACGTCACTACTTTAACCCTAAGATTCCTTTTAACACTCACACATTTTCACTTGGCCTCAGAAAGGTTAAATGGTGCTAACAGTGAAGACAGTTGTAGAGAACAGGAAGACATGGGAAGATGCTGCAGATAAGCAAAGATAGAAAAGATATTTAGTTGTTCCTATTTTATTCGTATTTGAGTCAGGGTCCGAAACTGTTGAAGTCTGGTCTTAAACTTCTGGAGCAGTGATGCCCTAGATTTTGCCTCCTGAGCAGCTAGGACTGTAGGTGTGTTAGCAGGCCTGACTATAACTGATTTGTCATTCAACACCAGGAGAAGTGGCTTAGAGGGGAGCAAAAAGCAGATGAACAAAAACCAGTCTGCCTCTGGTTAGGGTCTGTCCACAACTCAAAACACCCAAACAAGAGCTGCCATTTTCCTTGGGTGGTGGTGGCACACACATTTAGTGCCAGCACTCAGGAGGCAGAGGCAGGTGGATCTCCTAAGTTCGAGGCCAGCCTAGGCTAGAGCGAGTTCCAGGACAGGCAGGGCTACACAGAGAAACCCCCGACGACTGCCACTTTTAGGAAGAATGAGATAAGTGCTCACTTTTCCAGTCCCAGGACCCCGGAGGCTAACACAATTGCTGACTTTGGGAGCAGGCTGAACACCCAACACCCTGTTCAAAAACACACAACACAGGGAAGACGACAGAACATACGGAAGCAGAGCTGAGATGCCAACCTGTCTAAGGCCGATGGGCCGACTAGAGAGAGGAGGGGCGAGGGAGAAGGCCCGCCCTTCCCTCCTGCCACTTGTCACTGAGCAGGTTCTGGAGACCCTGCTGCTGAGTGGGGTGCTAACCCTGGTGCTGGAGGAGGACGGGACCGCCGTGGAGAGTGAAGACTTCTTCCAGATGCTGGAGGACGATACCTGCTTGATGGTGCTGGAGAAAGGGCAGAGCTGGAGCCCCAAGGTGAGGGGCCCATGGTGGGGCTGCTTAGGTCTCCAACCGTTTCTGGTCCTCCCCAGCCTATCACTGGTCTTGGGGGCAGAAGTACTGGGGAGGTGTGAAGGGCACCAACTATTAAACAATACCGGGGAGGCAGAGGAGGTCTGACACAGCAATGACAGGATTGGGTAGATATCAGGTATGAGGGAAGGTCCACTTCAATGATGGGGGTGTCCCACAGAGTGGGATGTTGTCATACGGCCTAGGACGAGAGAAGCCAAAACACAGCAAGGACATCGCACGCATCACCTTTGATGTATACAAGCAAAATCCTCGGGACCTCTTTGGCAGCCTCAATGTTAAAGCTACATTCTACGGGCTCTACTCCATGAGTTGTGATTTCCAAGGAGTCGGTCCCAAAAAAGTACTAAGGTCAGAGATTAACATGTCTTATAACCCTAACCTCCATCTAGGTCTCTTGTACCCATGTACCCCATAAGCTCTCCCCATGAACCCTCCCACCCAAAGCTTCCAACTCAAGGCCTCCTCTCATCGTCCCTTAATGGTTTAATTCCTGTATCTCTTCCCTTCAGGGAGCTCCTTCGTTGGACTTCCTCACTGCTGCAAGGCATAGGTCATATGCTGCTGGGAATTTCATCTACCCTTCGCCACATAGTAGAGGGGGCTGAGCGATGGCAGTGGCAGCGACAGAGTCACCTCCATTAATAATGAAAATAGCACTTTGAGCCTGTGCCCCAAGGCTGGTTCCATGCGACACCGTGAGGCCTGTAAGGGTGTCGTCAGGTTTGGGGTCTGTGGCAATCTAGGTAACTCACCGGACCTTGTAACAGAACCTATCCACACACTGCCTTGATCCTCCAGCCTGTACATTTTTCTCAAAAATGCTGCTTATCTAACCTACATTCCTGCCTTCCACTTACCCTGCAGCACCACAACCTTGTCCCCTGGTATCCTGACCCACCATGATTGCTGCTACATCTAGCTTCTTACTGACTCCTATCCCTAAGATCCTGTGTACCAATCCCTAGCAGTCCCTCGAGATACATTTCCCCTGAAAAATAAAAATACTTCCAAGAAAAATACAAAAAATGTTTACCAGTATGCCTTGGGGGTAGCGATGGGGGTGGGATAGACAGACAAAGGGATGAACAGGATATGGCTGCCACAGCCCAGGCTGGCCTTGAATTCTTGATATTCTTGTTTCAACCTCCTGGGTAGTAGTAGGTTTACAGTTTTGTGTTTTACATCTTGCTCCATTAGGACTTTTGGCTCCAATTTCAACCAGGAAAAATAACCATGTCCTTTCACCCTCCCTATCAAGAGACCTCAGTCATCAAGGATTGAGTTCAGTAACCGTCTTCTCTTGGCCACAGCACTCTGCTGTTCTTCCCAAGTTTTTCGCCGCTTCAAGAAGGTAGTCAGGGCCACATTTCGAGCCACATGGTGGCCAAAAGGATCTTGAATCAACTCCTGATTCTGCTCTCCTACAAAGAGAACACCCATGCTTAGAGATAAATTCTGTAATGCCAGGTTCACAGGACCCTCAGAGGCCACCAGGGGACGACTCGATGCAATAGCAAGAGAGCTTTATTTCAAGAGCGATAGAACTCGGGACCCAAGTCTCACTGACGCAGCAGTAGAGAAGTAGGGCCCCGAGCTCTGAACAGTGAACAGGATTTTTAAAGGGAAAGTCTGTGAGCAGGGGGTTTCCATGGCAGCAAGCAGGGGGACACAAGCCTTGGCATTACAGAATTGGGTGAAGTTTAGCAGGGTGGGGTGACCTTTTTTGAGGTACACAATCACAATGGCTAAGGCATATAATCACAATGGCTATTTTTCTAAACCATATCTGAAACACTGGGGAGAATTTTCCCACCCGATTTCCAACCGATTCCCATTGATTATTGCCAGAAAGTTTGTCTCTATTTTCTATGAAGCATTTATTCTGTATTATTTCCTGGTGGCTGTTGCTAGGAGAGTTAACTTTGTTCTCTGCCAAGTGTACATTCTCTGATATTTTTTGGTACCTGAATTCAGCTACCAGTCAAGATGGCTCTTTACTCAGGCTAACCATATCCAGGCTAACTTAAACTCTTCAATTCTACTTGAGGTGAAGGCCCTTCCTCTCTCCCCACAACACTGGGCCTGAAACAGGAAAAACAAACACCTCACTCACTAAAGTACGAAAGCCAGATAAAGAGGGAAGAGTGAAGGACTGCACAGTGAGTCTGCAGAGAGAAGGCAAAAACTGGTCACTGAGAACTCAGTGAGAACTCAGAACTGCTGAACCAATCAGCTACCAGGGACAGAAGAAGGGGACGTTTAGAAGCCACCCAAGGGCAGTGGTACTTACCCAATTCAGCAGCAATTTCTGTCCGGGCCCCCAAAGCTGCTCCGCTCCAGATGGCATCTAATACACGGCTGCCATGGCGGCTACAGGCAAGAGCCACGTACTGTCCCTGAATGGAGACAAGCAAGGTCAAGTCCTTCCAGACAAGTATGCAAATGTGTTTTTGGGAGTGGAGGAATAATTTCAAGAGACACGAGAAGCACAGTACACTGGCTGGCTGTGTGTGTCAACTTGACACAAGCTAGAGTCATCAGAGAGAAAGAAGCCCCAGTTAAGGAAATGCCTCCGTGAGATCTAAGACATTTTCTCAATTAGTGGTCAATGCGGGAAGGTCCACCCCACTGTGGGTGGTGCCATCCCTGGGACTACCATCCCCAGTGGTCCTGGATTCTATAGGAAAGAAGGCTGAGCAAGCCATGGAGAGCAAGACAGTAAGCAGTACCCCTCCATGGCCTCTGCATCAGCTCCTGCCTCCAGGTTCCAGCTCTGCTTGAATTCCTGTCTTGACTTCTTCCAGTGATGGATCTGACTAAACCCTTTCCTCCCCAACTTGCTTTTAGGTCATGGTATTTTGATGCAGTGATAGAAACCGTGACAAAACCCTGGTTAAAAGCACACAGGAACTATGTATCCTGCCTGCATCTCTCAGGTCCAGCCCTGAGGGCCTCATTTTCTCTAAAGCAATGATAGAGGGAACTAGAACAGAAGCCTCACCTTTAGTGTCTTCAGCACACGTCGACGCTGCTTGTGTGTCACAGAGGGGCTAGTCAGGATGGCATCAAATACATGAGAGCCAGCAGGACTTTGGGCCAGAGCCAGAAGCTGTGATCCTGTCAAGGCACTCAGACTTCGAAGTATGAGTCCAGGATTGGAGAAATACAGCAAATGCTGGAGCAGTAAAGACCCAAGTACTGTCACTTCTCTCAGAGCTCTTGTTGTGGCCATGTCTACCTGGGGGTGCAGTAACAAGAAGTTAGGAAGCAGTGACCAGACCAAATGGATGAGCTCATCTAGGCCACCTTCTCTTCAAAAAGGTTAGAAATCTCTCCCCCTTAAGCCGGGGGCTTCCCAAAGAAGCCTGGCACCAAAACAGCTACTGCTTTGGCCCCTCCCCTGTCTTACCTGATGTTCTGCAGGCTCTGCCCCCTCCTCCTCCATTAGTTCATAGTATACCTCATAAGCCAACAAAGAGGCAAAGAGAGGCACACAGGCTACTTGCCGGGATGAGGGCTCTGCGCAGTGGAACGCCTACATAGGAAGACAAAGCACAATGACTCTTGAGAACGATCCCATTCCTAACACCATGATTTTCTAGACAAAGAAATGTTCAAGAAGAATGAGGTCTGCCTCGACAGGAAAGGACACTCCATGAGCACAAAACCTCATTGCCTTGGTCTGTCTTCCAGCCTCTGCATTCCTAGCAGGGGCTGAATCCACACTTATCCCTCACAGGTCTCTTAAGTTTGTAGGATAAACTTCATTTCGGGACTGTTCTTGGACTCATCTGTCTCCATAGCTGTAACTCCCTCAACATGAACCTTCTAGACTAGATGCAGTGTTAGGTCAGAAGAGGCTACAAGCAACACCCGCTCACCTCCAGTAACAGCTGCAAGACCTGGGCCTGGTGAGTCCCAACCCTGCGGCAGGCTTCTACCAGAGCGACAACTACCCCTGGGTGGCCCTGGGCCAGCACAGCTTCCAAGGCAGGGCTCAGCTCCTCAAACACAAGGGCTAGCTGAGAAAACATGGATTGAAGAATCGTTGATATTCAGTGAATGGTCACCTATAAAGTTAATCAGAAAAAACTTCCTACCAAAAAAAAAAAAAAAAAATCTAGATAAGACATAAAAGCCATTGTCAACACCAGGTTGCTCACAGTGCTGTGTAAAACCCAGACGAGGACAGCCAGAGAGGTACCACCCTATGGGGAAGATCCTAAATGATCCTCCTGTAGCAGTCAGGAAGAATCCAGGGCAAGACAGATCTAGAATTAAACCTGCCTTTCTATTCCATGTGCCAACCCAAGGAAACACAGGAAAAGATGTTGCAGGGTATTTTAACATACTGTGACCCCCGAGACTGTGCACTGAAAAAAGCCTGTTTCTAGTTGTGGTGAGGGTCACCCCTAGCACACACCTTTAACCCAAGAACTTTCTGTAAACAGAATTAAACAAAGTCAAGAGGTAGAGCAAGCAACCAATTGACAGTGAACATAGGAAAAAAACATAGAGAGAGAGAGAAGTCCAGAGGATGGATAGAAAGACGCACAAATAGAAAGGAGAGATGTTCACTTTAAAGTTTAACCTCTCCACAGTGTGGAGAAAAAGGGGCTTTTTTCTTCTGGGATGTCAGCTGAGTAAGAAGGTCAACTGGGTACTTTCTCTGCATCTCTGAGAGAGCAGGATTTCATCCCAGCATCTGGCTCCTGGGTCTTTATTGGTAAAATCAAAAGACTGGGATTTTGTTTAAAAACAACACAAAGTTCCTGGGTGGTAAGCAGCAATGGAAAAAAGAAGCTACAGCAATGGCTTCAGTGCTCCTTTTGATTTATAGACAAGAAGCCACAGAACTAGCTGCAAACTTGAACTGTGGATTGAAAAGCTAAAACAAATCTCTAGAGGAGTAACTCCACCCTAATCTCTGAAAAACCCAAAACAAAACAAACAAACAAAAACCCTTCACATGGGTAATGGCGAGTAGACTGTCAGAAAAGTAGAGACAAGCACACAGTAAAATAAGACCCCAAAGCAGGGCATCGATGGTATACACCTTTAATCCCAGCAGTCTGAATGCAGGCACAGATCTTTGTGAGTTCAAGGTCAGCCTGGTTTACAGAGCAAGTTCTAGGACAGGCAGAGCTACAGAGAAACCCTGCTCAAAAAACCAAAATGTTTGATTGCTAGATAGATGTATGGATAGATGGATAAATAGATGGATGGAGATAGATAGATAGATAGATAGATAGATAGATAGATAGATAGATAGA